AGAGGGAGGACTGTCTTTACTGTCACCATCATTGTTTGTGAAACCCTTAATTAATATATAGTACTGTGGACTCCTGTGTGACCAAATGCCTGCGTATAGTATCCGCACAGACGGCCTCCTTTATAGAGGCTCTTGTCATGAAGTAAAAGTTGAAGAAGATTAACACGTGGCCGTTGCATTTGGAGACACACACACACACACACACACACACACACACACACACACACACACACACACACACACACACACTGCCATTGATGTCTGTGACCTTGGAAGACACTGATCACATTGGACCAATAAATGCTTAATTGCCATTTTTCCGTCGGGCTGCTTTATTGATGGTGTTTCCAAAGTGATTAATATGAACTGCTAACAAGATGTTGCACTCAGCTCTAAACAAAGCTGAGCAGGCATGTTGGAATACATTGACTTCTTGGAATTTTGCAAATACAGGCTGAATTAATTTCAAGGATTCCAAATGAATCCCAATAGAATTTCCAACGTGACACATATACAATGTCATTGTTGAATTCATGAAACATATTTCTCAATCGCAGCTTGCAAACCCACCATCTTATTTAAAATTATCATTAAAAGGGTCACTGACTCTGTAAGCTGTGTACCAACGTATCTCTTCCTCTCGGAAGACAAAAGCAGAAATATGAAGATAGTGGCTGAAAGGAAGGAAAAGCCAGAGCAGCCTGATGTTAAAATGGTCCAGGAGTCAAGTAGAACAAGTCAAGTGGCTGGAGGGCAAACAAAGGAGGAAGCAAGAAGAGGTCGTTCTTAATAGCTAATGGACTGTCAGTGGTCCTATTGTAATATGTCGAATGCTCTGAAATATGTTTGCATTGATGTGCAATTGGCCTTTTTTAAATCCCTGTCTAAACTGTATAAATGCATCCTAGACAGCAGAGGTCACCAAGAATGGTGCCCGTGGACCACATACATGACCAGCTCACCAGTGACAGGACATTGTGATTTCCTAAGTATGGTGTAGAAAAGACCATTTGAAAATGAAAACACTTCCAGAGATTTATAGAGTGCTAAATTATTGTTGACGAATCATCGCATGATCACTAGCTTCACGTTGGTGAATATCATTATTACATGGAATTACACATTCTTAAAGGTACAGCAATTGTTGAGAATGTGTTATTTGTAAAGTGTGTGTCACACTGGTAGCCCATCAAATGAATCAGTACCCAAGAAGCTAGCTCTCAATTTTTACAGGGTTGGTGACCCTTGTATAATATTGCAATAGGAAGCCGCCGATGATAATGTGTGGTTTCACGCCCAAAATAGTTCCAGTCTTGTTAAGCCACACTGTATACCGAGGGATGTTTTGTACACAACGGTGTCTACACTTGGGGACAGAGAATTTGATCCATCCTGAAAGGCGGATTGAACTCTCACAAGATGAAGACGTGACATCCTCGGCTTACTTGATGTCAGTGATAGGACAGCTCACTTGTAGATCGGGCATGTTGCCAGCCAGCTCTCTCTGGGTCTTGAATGTTGTCTCTGAACAAAGGCCAGTGACACAGATGACATTGAGGGGAAACCCGTCACCTGTTGCGTAAGGACGGGATAATCATACGGGCAGGGGGGATGCATGACTGTGTTCGTGTGTGTGTGTGTGTGTGTGTGTGTGTGTGTGTGTGTGTGTGTGTGTGTGTGTGTGTAGAGAGACGGGCGGGGGGGGGGGGTGTGTGTGTGTGTGTGTGTGTGTGTGTGTGTGTGTGTGTGTGTGTGTGTGTGTGTGTGTGTGTGTGTGTGTGTGTGACTTGTCAGGACAGCAGTCAGCGCCGAGGCTTGAAATCCACCCTCGTGACAGAGATGATCAACATCAGAAGCCCATCATCAGCCGAGATCATGTCCACAGCAAGGGTCATGCCAGGCACTGACACCACCACACTGTCCACTTGGAATACACAAAAATGCTGCATCCTTCTAACAATGTTCAAGTCAGTCCGCGCCTCTGTAACCATTTTTCCAGGCATGAGCTTTATTGCACCCAGGCATGCAAGTAAAATATAAAAGTTGTTCGCCTCATCTACCAACACTTGAAAATTGCTTAATTGTAACCCCAATGAAACAGTCGTGTTCCAATCACAGAGAGAATTTACTATTAAATTTATGGAAATGCATGAGCGAGACTTGTATTAGTTGTAGGCTACACCTGTGCTTGTCAAGGTACTCAAGTATGCTGGATAATTGGCTGTTGATTGCTGCCATTAACATCTGACGGCTAAGTGCATCTAATTCCCGTTCCATTTTCATGGTTCAATTTGATGTCGCCACCCACTCGTTCCTTCATAGGTGATTAGCTGTGCTGATGGGGTTTTTTTTTCTCCCCTTTTTTAATGATATAAGCACAATATGAAGAAAGAGCCGTAAGACTGTAATTGACACATCCCTAATTGATATTCGTTGTCGTGAGCAGTAAAAGAAAATATGGGTAGTGTCATTTATCCTTATGTTTCCATTTTTTTAATGCTCAAATAAAAGGATTGGTAGCAAAGGATGCAATAACGCTGTCAATTGAAATGATGTGATAGCATGTTAGTTTTATTATTTACAGTACCTCCAGCATGTACTGAACTAAGTCATGGTTTACCTATTTATTTTTATAAAGCTTTTCTTTTCAAGTCTTTGTCTTGCCAGTTTAGCCTTTCACAGAATCGGTGCTTCCTGTTTGCATCTCTGCAGCATCACCACCTCCGGGCGCCAAGACGAGGTATCCCTTTGAGTTTTAATCTCCTCGTCTGCCTGCAGCCTTGCGGCGATTTCATTTTAGTTTTAATATGTGCATTTGACATTATGTTCATTTAGACCTCCCTTCTCTGCCCTTCATATCCTTAATTTAATTGATGTGGTTTTGCCTTATGTTGTTTGTTTTGTCCTTAGTGATGAGATTGGGCCACCACCAACCGCCATTGTATTGCATCTGAACGGTTGATGGGGGCTAGTTTTTAAATAGCTTTCACATGCTTTTGTACCTTATTCCAAATGCTTTTATACTGTCACCTTACAGCTATTTTGTAATTTCATTTTTTTTACTTTGCACTGTTTTCCACAACCTATTCATTCATTCAGTCGGGTTCTACAACTTCATGTACTTTACTTGGTTTTATACCTTACTCAATGCCCTTTTACAACACTGTGGCCTTGTAATGTGTAATTTGATTTTCACTTTCTTCCGTCGGTCTTGTCCTCTCATCATCGTTCATTCATTCAGGTAGTTTTTCTACAGCTAATACAGTACTTAATTTGCCTTTGCACTTTCTTCAAAGCGCTTTTACGCTGTTAGTGTATAATTTTTACTTTATTGGTAAAGTATCCACTTGTCTTTCTTTTTCATTCAGGTAGTACTACAACTACTGTATTTTACTTGCTTTTACACCTTACTCACAACTTAATGTGGTTTAATTTGCAACTTTTTAAAAATGTATTTATTTGTTCATTTTCCTCTCCATCATCCTCCATTCAGGTGGTTCTACGACGATTACTATTTCGCTTGCTTTTGTGCCTTAATCACAGCACTTTTACAGTCATCATGTAACTTCAAATGTAATTTTTTTTGTAACATGCATAGCTTGCCTTACCGTCATCACCATCACAACTAATTCACGTACGACCACACACAGATTGTACTTCTACTACCCCCACTACTAATAATACAATAATCATCCTTTTGTTTATATATTTTATATATATATATATAATACACACACATTTTTTTTTTTGCCTTCTTAAGCCAAAACCTTTTACTTCTGATGTCACGAACCAACAGTGTTGTTCTTTGTCTTGAGCTGTTCCGAGAGGAACTCAAGCGTACTGGCAAATGGTGTGTCTGCCATCTGCAGGCTCCAAGTAGAACAGCACGAACTTTTTCAAATCACGATTCACCTTAAACTTCCTTTTCATCACTGCTTTTCATAGCAGAGCTAGAATGATTGTAAAGGAACAGTCAGTGCGACTCTCTCCAAACTATCCACGTTCTGTCGAAAGAAGGACGGCGTTAATGATGAGGTGATGGCACTTGCTTGGGGGTTTCCATTACACAACTTTCCAAATAATCATCTAAAAATATATGTATTTTTCCTCACATTTACACCTTGCTAAATGTGGTTAAGACTGTGTCAAATATGAGTATGAGGACTACACGACAGAACGTGTCAATATATTAATTTCATTTTTTGTTGTTGTCTCCTTTGAGGCAGTTAATGAAGGAGTAACAGTACCTCTCACCAGAAGATAATACTGAGGATCACTGGAAGCTGTTTGACATCCGACAATGCCTCAAAATGTGACCCTCTCATAATAGCATAACAAGGCCAAAACGAGCCATTCTTCTTCAATGTGCATTATTGGGCTACCTCTCAAAGAAACAACAGACCTGATGCATGAATTAAACATCATAGCGCAGCCTCAACTACGAGCTCAACCTTATAACGCAATGGTTGGATTATTCTGAGACAAAACAGCAGGCCTTTTAGTATCCTTGAACAGCTTCCGTCAAAAAGATCAAATCTCCAAATCTAGCCACTGGTCTGTGTAACTAATTAACTTCCACCCCCAAAATTTGAATTTAAATTAGCAATTGCCAGATATCATCAGGGGATAGATAACACCCTGTAAAGAAGTTTATGATGGAAAAAAAAAAGAGAAAAAGATGAGTATTAGGGAAGGCAATCGGTGAATTAAGGAGAGCTTCAAATGAGGGGATATCTCCAATTACAATTTGCTGAACACTTGTCAGCAGTAATGAAATGTTTGCAGAGGGGTTGCTATTTGTGGCCACTAGATTGGATGCTGTTGCTCCACTGCCCCCGCTAACAATTATATTCCATGCATAATTTGCCTGCCTTCTATTGTGCGAAGCGCAGTCCAGATGTAGCTACAACTGTCCAAGCCATTGAATAATGCAACACTGACGTGCATTCACAGGAGGTGTGATTGATACGTGACAGAAGTAATGCGTCAGCCAGTTTAAATAAGGGGAAAACACCATGTTCTTTTATTGTTTCTAAAGAATTACATAACGCATTAATCACAGTAAAGACAAACCGACTGTCCCTGCATTTCACAGGTGAGCAAGCTTACGTTTCAAATTAGATGCAAGGTGTCTTTCTTTTCTCTCTAACAGCCATTCAGCGCTATTGCACAGGAAGCAGAGCAATAAAGCTTTTTAAGAACACGAGTTAAAAAGATGGCTGGGTAATTTTTTCCCCTAAATATATATATTTTGATCCAGAATGATGTCATTTATACAATAGCTGCTCTGTAGATTTGTGCAGCATGTTTCCCATGAACCCACTTAGTAACGATGCAACCTATAAGCTGATTTTCCAGTGGATGCTTCTTCTGGAATGGATTACAGACTGCAGGGGGGAGTGTACGCAAGGTTCATGAGCGACTAGTAGACTGAAACTGTATAAACTCACATTGAAAGTAACAGTCAGGTCTCAAAATGGACTACTCCCTGCCAATTTATTTTAGGAACATACACATTTTGTGCAAAATAAGCTATAGTTGCAATGACGCAAAGAAAAGTGTTTCGCATCTTCTGGCAGGGTCACTTACTGGCCTGTTGCAGGTCGGGACTCTTTTATATCGACTAAAAATGTGCAGACCACTCTTGTGACTTCATGCACGATGGGCCAGTGGCTCAACCAATGACACCCCGCCCCTCTCACATGCCCATTGGACAAAGGATACACACAAACGGCAGAGCATTAACTGAAAGGCAGTAACCAGTGAACAGTGTTGAGTATTTGCTCTCCCTATCTAATGTGCATTGTGCTGTCAGCTCATTAACGGAAGGTCAACTAATGGCACATCAGTGCACAAAAACTGAACCGTCCAGAGGAAAATAAATAAGTGCACAAATGCCAGTCCCTTTCTTGAATGGATGAGGAGGTAGAGAGCTGCGATCCAATCAGGCAATAACGTTACTTCTCAGGCATACTGCAGATGAGAAATAAAATAGCTTTGTTCACTTAAAATAAGAAAAATGCTTCGCAACTCCAAATTGCAACTCTAAGGGAAAGCTTTGAATCCACAGAAGCGATCTAGTTGTGTAATTCACCTATTTAGCAGTCGGTGTGAGCAGGCAGATAACAATGCTAATATCAAAGAAGGGCATTTGCTCAAATTCAAGTGCATTAAAGTGACTGAGTCTTGGCAATCAGTAACATGTGAAAGATGTGCTGAATGTAGTTGGCCCAGTGAAGAGCGCGTGTGCGCACTTGCGCTGGTGTGGGGGCAGGTCGTCTATGCAGAAAACTCATTGTAAACTGTACAGGGCGCCCCAAATAAAGGCACTATTTTCAATATACAGTGTCTTTAACGCAACAAGCCGACCCTGTATATCCTCATCACTCAGCATTCCCAAGGCAGGACCGCTCAGGTGTATTCCTCACTTTTTTTTTTCTTCACGTTCATCATAAAAGCTTCCCTGCCTCACAAATGGGCATGATATGCATGTTTAAATTAGTGAGTTAAAGCATTACATGGAAGCATAAAATTAACATGTGGGCCCTTGTGTCCAAATTATCAATCGACACACATTTGGGTTGAGATTGACCTTAAAAAAGCTGCCATGTAATTTGGAATAGAGTGGGAGGTTAATGAGAATCCACGATGGTGGGAGTCACTGAATCTCATCGTCAGTTACAGTGCTTCTAATATTCAATTTAATAGAAAGTAATTGAAACGAATTTACTCTCACTCTCAGGGGCAATAATAAAATGAGACAATCACACAAACTAATTCTGGTCCCTTTAAATAATTTTATCATTTAGGTTGGAAGAGGTTTATCATTTAAGGTTGGATTTGTCTAACTGCCTATATATAAAAATCCGAATACATACACCCAAAAAGTGAAACATGACTTGAGAGACAAAAATATAAAATGCAAAACCCAAATCAAGGTCAAGGTTAACAGGTTGCAAATTTTCCCCATTGCCGTTTTCCCACCACGGCAAAAACCTGGATTTGTCCACATACGCACAGGATATATATATATATATATATATATATATATATTCTGTAATCTTTGAGCGTCTGTGGCTATGTACAAGCTATACACACGACGAGCAGGCTGAGGGCCAGGTTTCAAATGCTGTGCAGAGGGAGCAGTTGGTTGGGAAGGTTCCCAGTCTCCCGGCTCCTTCCCCCACAGTCTGCCCATACAGGTGGCTGTTCTGCTTCACTTGCGATCGTCGATGGTCTTAATGAATTCCACCGCCGCGGTGAACTGCATCCACCAATAGCACTCCTCCCCACTCAGCCGGCTGGCGTAGAAATTATTGATGTACTGAACGGTGGACAGCAGGCAAGGCGGGTTTGCCTGGAGGGGAGGAGACGCAGGGATGGGCTGATATTAGCTTATGGGAAGAAGGAAAAAAAAATGCACGCTACACTGTTCACGTTAAAAATGCACATATGGCATATTTTGAATGATGTGCATGTTTCAAAAACAGGGATGGAACAAGCATGTGAATTAAAAGGAAGGACAAAGAGGAGGAGGACTACAGTCGTGGGCAAAACTTTCGAGAGCGACGCAAGTATTGGTTTTCACAAAACTTGAAACGTTTTAACCGGTAGTTCCTTTTTTGTAAGATGTTACTATGACACAGTGAAATCTAATTGCGAGCATTACGAGTGTCAAAGGTTTTTATTGACATTAAGTTTATGCAAAGAGTCAATATTTGCAGTGTTGACCCTTCTTTTTCAAGACCTCTGCAATTGATGGCAGCTCATTCTTTCATAAAAATAATCAATGCTTTGAGTTGGTCAGAATTTGTGGATTTTGTTTGTTCACCTGCCTCTTGAGGATTGACTACACATTCTCAATGGGATCAAGATCGGGTGAGTTTCCTGGCCATGGACTCAAAATGTTCATGTTTTGTTCCACATTGTTATCACTTTTGCCTTATGGCAAGGTGCTCCATCTTGTTGGAAAAGGTATTGCTCGTCATCAACCGTTTTCTTGGATGGCAGAATATCATTTTGCACAATATCAGTCTGTACCCAATGTTGTGGATTGTTTGTTGTCCTCCTTGACATCAGGCTTCCCCGCCAACAAAAGCTTGTCCTCATTGTGCATCATACCTGCCTACTGGCATTTCTGAGCAAATTCTGCACTGGTGGTGCGCCACTCCTGCAGCTGATTCAACTTTAGGAGACAGTAGTGGCGTTTTCTGGACTTTCTTGGGCGCCTTGAAGCCTTCTTCACAACAACTGAACCGCTCTCCTTGAAGTTCAGTTAAGTTCATTTTCATGGCAAAGAGAAACTTTGCAATGAATTGAAATGCATGTCATGTCTCTTCAGAATATGCTGGAGTGCATGCAAATGGCCATCATAAAAAATTAGGCAGCAGACTTTGTGAAAATTAATATTTGTCTCATTCTCAAAACATTTGGTCACGGCTGTGCATGAAGACTCACCCTGATGAGGACAAAGACGAGCACGGGAACAAAGTCATCAGCTCCGGGCACAGAGTCTTCATTAGCCAGACTGAGAAGGTTCATGATGGTGGAACACATGCGCAGTATACACTGGACTTTGTCTCGGGGTGTCTTGTAAGCATTGATGGTCTTGATCTCAGACTGTGCAGAGGGCCAGGGCGCCTCCTTCAAGTAAACCTGCAACCAAGGAACGCACGCACGCACACGCACACGAATGAACAAATACACACAAACAGCAGAGTGTCTCTGGTCAAGGAGAAAACTGGGGAAAAAAAAAAAGTGTTCATACCTCTGGTATTTGAAGCGCTTTATGATTAGCAGTCACGACTTTGGTCAGCCGCTGGATATGTTCATGAAAAAGCCTGTGGGGGCAGGACATTCGGTCTTTAAAATGCAACAATGAGGCCAGTTGTTTTTCCAAATTCACCAGATTGATAACATTTTAAATGACAAAATACTACAAATTACCATCCCCTCAAAAATTGTGTCAGAATGCTGAAATGCAGTTGAGTCAAGGGGCAGAATAATATTTTGTCCATGTTTTGATGCACAACAGCATTAGCAGAAACAGTTTTCCCTCAACATACACAGAAACACTGGGTGATTATGGTGTATATCACTGTGTCAGTGGAGAAAGTGCAACTACTAACTGATCTCTGTGAATGTCTCCATCCTGGTTGGGGTAAAAAGCCAGCTTGAAGATGCGGTTCATAACGCTGCGCTCGATGGCCATCTGGGCATCCTGCAGCTGGTCCTCACTCGCATACTGCCAAATGGCATCACGGGCCATGGCGCCGTACAAGTAGCGCAGAAAATCCTCCACCGCTGCAGTCTTGTCATCTGCTGCTGTGCACACTTGGAACGCTGAGAGGGAGAGAGGGAGGGGGGGTGACTATTTCGGACAAATTCTCTCGCTGAGTTCTTATGAACCTTGTCAAATATGGCAATATTTTTTTTAAGTACTGTTACAAACTATTATGGAAAAACAGAGGTACCCTTGATGAAGTCAAGCATCCTGGACTCCATGTGTTCAAGAAGGAGGCGAACGCACACTGTGGTAAAATAGCGGTTCGCTACCTCCTTGTCTCTCAGAACTCTCTGGAGGAGCCTCTCCAGATGGGCCTGGGAGGTCTGCAGACCTTGGCGGCATCTCGTTAAATAGGCTATGTACGGCGCTCGTTTTCTACAGGAAACACCAACAGAGGACTTTGTTTTATTCCTGAGAAAGAAATTAAACATCTACATGGTGCTGAACTCTTGAGGGGTACCTGTAATCTTCCGCAATGGCGGCAAGCAGCTTCCTACAGGTGCGAGGGTCGAAACGGCTGACGCAACGCGAAGTCTCCTGGATCTGCGCCATCTGGTTCTTGTCCTGGAGGTTGATGGCCTCTGCTAACTGGACCTTTAGGAAGCACACGATCTCATTGTCTGTGAGGGAGGAAGGAATCATTAGACATGCAGCAATCGTACGCAACATTCAAATTGGTAATCTGATCACCCTGCTATCTCTGCGTAACAATATGGCAAGAACAGAAACATCTATAGAGTTGTTTGCTTTTACACTCTGAAATGGGCACACTTCGGAGTGTCATTTTATTTTGCCAACTATTGTGCTTCCTCAACATGAGCCTGTGACAGTAGAGCGCTGCTTTTGTGCAGCGTTCTATTAGATGTATCATCGGTAGCAATTATACAGTTCTTAACGCACAATTTCTCATGTCGTTTTTTTTTTCCTGCGACTTAAAGGAAACTGCAAGCTTGTTGGATTTGTTCTGAGATGTAATACCTTCAGGGTCCATATGGTCAGGCAACCCATTTCTAGTGGTTGTAGAGGTCAGAATCGGCAGAGCCACCGAGTCTGCAGAACACAATGCCAACCGCAACTTTTTCTTGGCATCACTGAAAGTCAACAACAATCAGCGATTAATATGGACCATAATGGTGTATATGCTGAATTGTGACAATCATACCTAAAAGAGAACTTTGAGCCATGCTGATGGGCTGTCTGACTGGCTGAATCTGGGAGATCATCAGCAGAAATGTTCTGCAGAGCATCTTCTCTTGGAGAGTCATGAACACTTTCCTCAACACAAAGATCTGTCAGAATTAAAGAATGTCGCAACGTTAGCAGGTGTGCAGACTACTGATCAAATTCTCAAGACTAAAAAGTATCTTTTTCTAGATGTTGAAATAATTATGTTGACGGGACAACAATGTCAGAGCGTCTAGAGATCAGTGTTATGTTGCACAACACCCAATTAATCTTAACAGTTTCAATGACTTTTTGGAGTGAATGGCCAAAATAAGATAGTCGAACTTGATTAATTCAGGAAACAATCTTTTTATGAGCTCGTTCACGGGGCAGAAATGGGAGAGGCAGAAAACTAGAAACATCTCCTGTGTACACGCCACAGATAAAAGCAGGCAATTTGAGTAGCCATTGCACAGGCTTTGGTAATGTTTATGTACTGAGTTTTACAGAATGATCATCTTTAGTTTAAATACAGAATATTTTTCAATTGAGTAGCAGAGACAATATTGTTAAGTTTGGTGGTGGTGGTTTGCAGTTGTATTAAACTGCATCTTACCATTGAATCTAATTGTATTATAGTACAGTATTTCAGCTACCCCTGGGGCCTTTATAAAAAGCTAAATTGTTCATATCAGATGGTGAAAGTGTACCTACTGTAATTAGGTTTTAATTCGGGTATATGGCAAAACTAGGCTTTTTTTTTTTTTGATGATGATGATTTGAAGAATCCTGTAAATCCAGAATCCTGTTAATCCTGGCCCCAGCACCTTCATAAATCGCTCCTGCTGTGGCGCCATCACTCGGGCTGGTCCTCTTTATGTTTCGGTACTTGTCCAGGATGTCTTCTGCTGCTTGGACTTGGGAGTTTTGTCTGGGCATAGGGTCATCTGATGAATCAACAACACATTCAAAAAAACAAAACGAAAAAAAAAAAACCATTACAATTCAAACGAAACAAGGTGGATTTGATTCACCGTTTTGGACATTTGATTAACAAACCTTGTGGGAGTCGCTCCGGAGCAATATCATCTTTCTCATGCTTGTCTCGTTTTCGAAATGCAGCTATAGGAGCTGGGAAGAACATGAAGATTGTTTGAATTGTATGGTGTGACAAAGACTCCAATATGACTGGATGACAGGCTGATCGTGTGCAACTCATTAGCCGTCTCTTAAAATGCACAAAGGCAGGGGGTGGTCAACTCATGTAAAATCTCATTCCAGTTAAACTACCAAAAGAAGCAAAAGAATTATAATTAAAATTGTGAATAAATCATCAGAATATCATTAAAGTCCACTGAAACTCATTATGGATAATTAGGTCTACGAAGTTGAAATGTCTATGGGGGCTTATCCTATTAACACAAATGGTGAAAACAGGACAAACAATTGAGGTACTGAGTCTAACATTTGATGACACACATCGGAAACTCTGGGTCAAAGTGTCATGTAAACGTTGATATTCTGTGTTGTCAATACAGTAAGGTTGCAACATAATGCCATGGCACAAGATGCATGGATGACGACAGCGGGCATTCAAAATGCACCATGTGACATGTACAACTCTGGAAGGCAACATCTACTAAGCAGCATGGCACGCAGCCCCGGCGTTACAGCTAGCTCAATGGCGACAGCGTTACCTGGGACGTCACTCTCAGCTGTCCAATACAGCACTGTGAGGGACACAACAGACAGGGTTGGCCTTTCGCAGAAAGGCTGCCACTCTGCAGGACAACCAACTGTGTTGTTGGGCAGAGCAGCAGGACAAACACATTGCACTCGGCACAGGTTGCCGGCAGACTGGTGGTTCAGGCTCCAGCGGCTCCCAACTTTACCATGTGTCGCCCATTTTATGAATATCAATTTAATGTTTGCTTAAGAAACACAATTATCCCAAAGACTAATGTGCAGTCACTCTGTGTGGGCGCAGCTCATTATTCCCCAGACAGATGCATGAGATATGGTGGTCGAGTAGAACTGCAACAAGAGATGTGCCATCTATCAGTGGTGATGACAGAGAGGTCCATCTAATGACCATTAGCTGCTGGATGACAGCACAGCTGGGAGGGCTAGCGGCCATACAATCTACGCAGCGAAAGCTCCTCTGATGAGTGATTAGCTTCCAACGCTTTATATAAATCTATGGCTAGTGAGACATGAGCAAAGAGCGACTGGACGTGTCGGTAAACTAACTCTGACAAACAAAACACATCATTTTCCAACTGGAACACCAGCAATTTAAAACCAACATCATTCTTTCTCATGTTACAAATGGCTTTTCGCACTGCTCTTCAAAGTGTAAGATTTTCTGTCACTTGTGATGAAAAAAAGTTTCTTCATGAGAAGGAGAAATAAAGAAACTCTGCAAACAAATGTTAGTTGTAAAGGCATGACTTTTCAATTGAGCAAAGAGGAAACCTACCTTTTGGGATGGCTGACACAAAACGCTTCTTCCACCATGGCCTGTTTCGATCAGACTTCTCATCATCACTGTCTTTTCTGTCTTCAGCCTATTAATGGAAATCATAGATATTTGCATGTCACAATAATAACTGAGTGGGTAGTAACAAAAACGTATAAAACTATATAGTACCATAGCAGAATACTTAAATACAATGTATGGACACCTGGTCGCTGCAACAACAAGAACGACCGGTAAAAATGCAACACTCCACAGGCCAGTCACATTCTTCCACATATCTAATCAATCAATGTTTTTTCAACAAACATTTCAATCACTTGCCCAAAAAGTTCATGATTATAGCTGAAGGGTGTGCTGTAACAGTTCAAACCTCCACAAGTCAAGCTATGGAATCAACAATCTTCTCGTTCCAAAAATAGAAGGGGAACTTCAACACCGTCTGATATCGAAAGAGGAACGTCACGATGATCTTGATTCAAAATGTACCTTCATGGAACATGTCTAGAGTTTGATAGTTACCTCTCCTTTCAAGGAGTCCTTGCTGGGCGACGAGGATGGCCCTAAAGCAAAGGCTCCGGCAGAGTCACGCTCTTCAACTGGAACACGACGATTCAGCCCAGGGTCGCTCGTGGGTCGCCGGCCTGGGCAAACAATGTCAGAGCTGCGACTACGGACTAGTCGGTCAGGGAAGGAGTGGCGCTGCTTGTTGTGCTCAAACTCAGCCTGAGCCAAGCTGTGGGGCATGATGAGAGAGTGGCGTGTCTCCTGCCCAAGAGCACTGGCTTCAGGGATAGGGGGATCTGGGGGTGGGTGAGCAGGCCTGGCATAGTGAACCTTAGGCCTCACTATTGTCCCAGTGGTGGAACCTGGCACAATAAAAGCCACAGGAAAAAAAATGTACAGGAATTGGGAACTCTCTAAGCATTAAGATCAGATGAGACTTTATTATGAGCAATATACAGATGAATCATGAAGTGTCCTTTCATATAGTCATGGTGTCAATCTGAGAGTGCTAAAGAAACATCGGAAAAATAGTAGGCCACCTGTTCCAAGGGTACACACACTCATTTCCTGAAAAGCTTCCAAAGGCGCATTATTTTTTTCCTATAAGCACAGTGGGACAAGGAGACTGTGCCAAAGTGCTTGGGGTGAGGTCTCTCAACCTGTCATCCCTTCACCTTGCCACATACATGCAACGACTACAACAAATTTCTCCAAAAAATCTTGATAGTACAACGCAAAGCCTATACAATCTTGAAGAAAATGCCAAACTCATACAAACACACACACACACACACACACACACACGCACACGCACACACACGCACGCACGCACGCACGCACGCACGCACGCACGGGCGCACGCAAAAAAACCAACAACAACTGGGCCAAATGAAATGGCACATGCACTCCTGCATTGAACAATTGGTATTAAAACTGTGCGGGGAAGAACAGGCTCACTTTTGGGTTATTTTGCTCAAGCTGTGCTGTGGGCCCAGAACATTAGGGTTGAGCTTTAACGACACTAATTTCTAACCCTGATTGGTGAGCATTTTAGGAGTGATGCTTACCTTCACCACAGGAGAGCGGATCGAACATGACCAATAAAGACTCAGCTTGCGAGGCTGGCGAAGTCAGATGGTGCGCTCCTGTAACAATGCAAACAGTTATGAGATCATGAACAGCCATTACAAATCCAGCACCAACACACAAGTGCAAATCCAAATGGACAATATTTCTCAGTAAGTGGAATTACTGCGATGGCAAAATAAAGAAACAGCAATTTAGTGACCACTCTGGAAGTGACAGCGATTGATAGTTCTCGCTGTTATGAACTGGACTAATGACTTCGCAAGCCAAGTGGGGATGTGACACTCTCCTACCGTGGCCTGACTCTTCCCCATCTGGACTGGTCACAGAGTCCTTTCCCCCAAAGTCTGAGCTGCACTCTGAGCGCAAATCCTCTATCTTGTTGGGGATGTCCTCTGAGGTTGCGCTGATACCTGCAGGGCAAAAAAAAAAAAAACACACACCAACACACCACACACACACACACGGACACAAAAAATTGGAATTCAGTTTTCCACTGTTTGACCCTGGAACACACACACCACACACACCACACACACCACACACACACACACACCGTGCTGTTTATGCCCAGGACAAAAGCAACTTAGTAGCAGCAAGATCTAATGGGAAATGCATTTGCGGTCAAAGGAAAGACAAAAAGAGATGTTTTTCCTCTTTGGACTGCTGTAATTGCTCAGATGGGAGCTCAGTGAGTACTTTAATGTGGTGCTGTAAGGTTCCCTGGGTGACAGAAGTAAGAATGATACAGATAAAGATGGCATCCAACGCATCCAGTGGGCAGAGGTTACGATAGCTTGCATTTGCTGGCAGCTATGGTTCAGTTGTTAGAGAGGGCCATACAGTTGCCCAGAGTTTCACTGATTCAACTCTCGCTTCCAACTGTCCGCTGTCCAAGTGTCCTTGGGTAAGACATTGAACCATAAATTGCCTCCAGGTCGGTATTGTAAATAAACTGTTCTCAAATTCCTTACCTGGCTAAATGACGACTAAATAAATAACAAATTAAGCAAATAGATGACAAATGGCAGCGCCGGCCACAAGAGCCATCAAATGTGGACATTTGGACTATTATTCCAAGCAAAGCTGCACTGTTCGTGTTTGTCTTTTTATAAATGCATATGAAAAGAGTTGAGATTTATACCTGAGACGACACTGAGGCCAGGAGTGCTTGGTCTCGAGCTGACCTCCCGGACTTCTGTATCATCTGAGGTGCTACCAACCCCTGAGCAGCTCTCAAGCTCCTGCAGCCGTTCTTCCTGTTTCAAATCTGGGGCTTCTGTAAGTAGAAAGGAAAAAAAAAAAAAGAACTCTGTCTAAAAAGATGATTTTCGAAACCTCCTCTTCTTGTAGTATGGTTAAGTCCCATTTCAACTATGGTGTAATCATACAGCACAGTGGACATTCTGTCACTCCACCCCTTGCCTCTTGACTATTATTGCCAAGTACACACATATGCATGGAATCAAAGGATACATTATCACGAGTGATAAGAGCCAAACAAAACCATAAAGCTAGTGAGGCCAATTCTTTGGCTGCCCAATGGAGCTGTTGGGTTCAACCCAGAGGCTCCATATGAACAGCAGTACTCATTTGCATGCTCGTTAGTAATAATGTGCTGGTGAAGTGGTCTGCCGAGTGTAGTTTTCTGCTTCCGAACCATGAAACAAGCACAGTATTTGAAAAAAGGCCTCTGATCGCGCTATTACTGAGCAGAGCAGAAGCAGAAACAGAATAAAAAGCAATCAAGAAACTCATGCATGTTAGCTGCAGCATATATTAAAAGGTATAGATAAAATTGACATAAGACACTGGGTTTCCAAAAATGCAATGCGGTTAAAGACTACAGATTTAAAGAGAACAACTAAAAAAAATTGTGATGAGTACATTCTCATTCATAAAAAGATGGGAATCCTATGACTGAAGCAAAAAAGAAAAAGATTGAGTAATCTTGATTTACTTTGCTTTTAGAAGTCTTAAACTCTTGTTTGCAAATGCTTATGAAAGTACTTTTGATAATGTGAGCACATTGTGTATGAAATCTAAATAATGCTACCTTGCCTTGTCACTTAGCAGTCACAAATACAGTATAGGCACCCCTGCACAATCGAATCTAATGAGATCCCAAAAGACCTGTGCTTTTCGATCGTGCCTTTACAAAGACTAAAAATGCTCAATTTTGAAGTTCTAATGTCAGTTAAAATATTGAGCTAAATGAGAGTGTATGATGTAGTTCTCTTCTACACTATAGTTAAACTATGCTAAACTAACTCCTTGACTGGACCATGTCAATCAAAACCGAGGATTATTTCCCTTGGGCAGGATTCTCGTAATAGCACTAATTATACTGTGCAGGTTTAGCCAATAAAGTGTCAGATGAGTATGCGTACGTTTGACTTATAACTGGACAATTTGCACCCAAATGTGATCACCAACGTGGCGGGATAAAAATGTACACGAGTCTGGAATTGACGGTATGTAAACTGACTGAAGGCAGCTGCTGTCCTTGTGCCTCCCTCCCCACTGTTCCCCCGCAGGTGCAAACACACCTGGGGGTCCCCTCTAAGGAAACCCAGAGCTGCCTTTTACTGGCACACAAGGAACTGCCCTGGAAGACATGCTAGTGCATACAAATATGATGGCAGATGTGTACACACATTTTAGGTGTGGAGCACATAGTGCAACCACACCTGGCGTCCCAACCCCCATTGAAAAGGGAGTAGAAATATGAATATGCATACAAACGTGTGCATGGAAACACATGTTAATAACTGTTGTGGGAGTGAAATGCAGGCATCATAGGGATGACCCAGGACAACAAACGGTCAGAAAGTGACAGCCGGATGAACCCGGGACCACACCTGAATCACTTGGCAGGACCTCCACACTCCATGCCTCACTGGTGGTCTCTGAGATCGTGGAGCCGTAGGGGTCCAGCAAGACTGAGCCGGATCCTGGGAGGCACAGCAGGCTGCCGAGCATGTTCTCGGCAGCTGCCCCTGAGAACAAAGAGGAAAAAGACTGAACCTCCTTCTGTATCTAAAGTCACCTTTATCGTCAGAGCCATGTTTTTCATCTTTAAGTTTGAAAAGGTTCTTGTTGAGTTTTAATGATCCTCATTTTTATTTATATTCTGTGAAACAAATGTAGTTATGGACAACACTTAAGAAGAAAACAAGTACAAATTTCAACATAATCTTAACCCAGATTTTACCTGAAACAGAACTGGAAGTTTCAATAAGATTTTTGCAAATTGAAAAAGAACAGCAATCAATGAAAGGACACTATCGACAACACAAAAAGAAACAAAAGTTCTAGGATAGACAGCGAACACAAACCCTCACCAAAAAGGTAACATGAGCTCAGAAAAATGCGTTGAGCTCCACATAAGCAGTATGCTGTCCATTTTATGCTTGAAACAGCAGAATTATACCCCCTGCACCAAGGTTAGTGGTAATTGGGAAGATATCACCTGGCTTGGCCTTCCGGGTCTCAACTTTGAGCTGTTGCGTTATACTCACATTCTTCATAAACAAATCAGTCTCCTGCATACCGTCCGCTTCTATCCGGGAGAACCCAAATTAACAAGGCGGAAGAATGCAGAGGAGGGGCAAATTACAAGTGGGAGTCAGTGTACTCGGCTCAAGACGTCCAGTGATAACGGCTCGCGCAGGTCCATCACGCTTCCACACACATGCACCATGAGCAAGCACATACGCCACTATGTTCTGATGGGAGAGTTCTATCCCGCTGTCCATGTTTACAATGTTCAAGAGTGCTTGTCTTTCAGGTGGATGATTAAATGAGTGGCACAACAAGAAGCGAAACAATTAGAATTTCTGCCTCATTATCATGGTAATCTTATCAGTGGGATAATGAGGTATTAATGGATATTTAATGTGCATCTCATAACCCAATCCCTAGGAGAAAACACATAAGGAAATCGCTGTAAATTCACTTAATGACGGAAAAGTCCCCCAACGCCATATTCCGAAGAATGAAAAATGGCGCATGCAAATGAGAAGGAACCAAGGTCAATAAGACTGCAGGGACCAAATGAATGTCAGAGAGAGAGGAAGACAGAGGGAAAGAGAGCTTGGTCACGGAACCACTCAGGCAGGGAAAGATGGAGATATGAATACCATATATAATGAAATAGGGCAAGCTAAAATTCATGAAATAATCTGAAGGAATACTGAAATCATTGAAGGAATAATGTAAGATATGATTCAATATCTCGATAAAATTGCAACAATGTAAAATGTGATCATGGCCAAACCCAATTCCAACAAAGTTGGGACATTGTGTTAAAAATAAAAACAGATTATAACAATTTGTAAATCATCTTCAACCTAAATGTAATTGAATGCACTAAAAAGGCAAGATATTCAATGTTCAAACTTAATGATCATTGACTTTGATGACTGAGAACACGTAACTGAGATTCCTGAGATTATGCACTTTGTACAATTTTCCTGTTTAAAAAAATAAATAAAATACTCAAGTGTGCATGCAGCATGAAATGAGATCAACTATTACTCCTCTCACTGTCTTAGCTTACCATTGGATGTCAAATGATACACAGTTTTATTTTTATTTTTTCACCCCTGCAGACCTACAAAGAATATTGTGGAAGCCTTCCATGTTCAAAAATTGCCTCATGGTGTCATTTCACAATTGTGCCACAAGGTGATGACATTTTCCTGAAGATATTTGTCCAACAGAGACAAAGCTGTCCTCATATAGACAAAAGGAATATACTTTTTCTATAAGCAGAGAGACATTACTCATAAGCAACAAATCCTCTCCATACCTGCTATTTCCTGCAGCCGATCTTCATCCATGTTGGGGTCAAAGTCACTGCCAAGCACGTCAGTGCTCCAGGTCTCACTGACAGTCTCAGAGATGTCCCGATCCTCTGTCAGGCCCATCATGTCTCGGATTTCAAACTTGCGCAGTTTGTCATCCAAGTTGTCTTGAGTGGTGGCTGATTGAGGCCCACCATAGAGTATTATTTATACTGCACACACTTGGACATATACATTTTACTATAGTATCTTTCATTTGCGGCGTTAGTTAGCCGAACAGTCCTAAAAATATACTGACAATTTTTCCCCCCTTTGTTTGACAGTTTAAAAAAATAAATAACTAAAATTAAAAAACAGTATAGGAAAAGTGTGCACACACCTTGTTCATGCTCCAAAAGCTGGAGAGCCTCCACCCCGTTGCTTCCTGAGGGTCCAGCTCCCAGCTCAGAAACAGATTCTCCCTCCAGGTCAAGAGATGACACTGAATTGGAACGATTGGATGGGCCTGAGGAACATATTGAAAGGACCAGCTTGATGTCAAGTTTGGGGAATTTCTTGATTCTACACCAATATGACACCAAACAACTAAAATATATATTCATTTCACCACAGATGTTTTTATTTTAAAGTTTCTCTCAGTGACCTTGGTACATTTCTCTAACTACAACTTAAAGTCTGTTCAACATTTAAGTCCATTTCTCAAAGCAATTCATACAAATAACCAAACATCATGGTTCCCTTGCAAATGCCATCATCTCTTTCTCCAAATCAATAGCTCATCTCTCAAAAGTAAATATTTGTCTCACTGAATATGTCAGTGCCATCAGAGAGGCAAGTCTTTGTGTAATTGTGTATGGATAAGACAGTCAAATTGTTTAGTCATGTCATCAATATAACAATGGACTCTGGAGGGATGTTCTGACAAACTTCGACTGATGTTTCAATAACAATTACTGAGACTGAACAAGATTCACATCTCACTTTAACTGTGTGCAATGTAATATGTTGAACGAACCATCTCATTGTGAAACAGAAAGGAAAAGACAGTACTGCAAATGGGGAAAAAAAAAGAATGAACATGCAACCTTGGAGGACTATACAATACATCCTGATTTATATAGGATATTTTGAGACAGAGCCCGTTTAAATTGTTTTTTGTGCATTTTCAACATTGAGGGATAAGAAACATATGGTGAGACTTCTGTTAGATGATCTATTTATGATTTACTGCAAGTCTGTGAAATTAAGACATTTTTGTAGATTGGGCATTGATTCTTGGCAAATGTGTGCCCTTTCTCTGTGCCTTTGTTTGACTTAAGACAGAAAACTAACCCTCAGAGATGCCTTCCAAGTTGTCACTGCAGAGTGAAAAGCGAAGCGTTTTGTCTGGTTTACCATGCAGCTTTGTGTCGTCTGCATGGCTGTCGCCTTGTGCAGCATCAGCCATCTGCAAGTTCAAAACCTGTGGTGGACAACACAGTGGAGAGTATTGACTACAAATAAGGGTCTGCATGAGACATTAATGATGATGACCTTTAAACTCATAAAATGGATGACAAGGTAACCACACTTTCACTCAGTGAGGGAAAAATGTGTTGGTTTATTTACAACTTCATTACCACTACTTTAGTTAAATGCATTATTTCAAGTCACATTACCTCATTCTCTGACATCATTCCAGGGATAGTCTGAGGGCCATTTCCAAACGATATTACAAGCACCTCTTCTGGCATCAGATCTTGCAACAACTCTTGGGAGCTAGCCTCTGCTTCCCCCTCCTGGGCTATGTTGGTACGGCTACGGCTTCGAGCAGCTGCTGTTTGGTGGTTGGAGAGGGAAATGCAAAGATCAGCCAATAATCTAAAACATTTATGTTGAACGTCTCATTTATTTTCTGAATTAAGTGCATCTTCATGTTTGGACTTGTTGAATGTGGCATTGCAGCGTTTCATGATTAAATTAATGTTTGCACTGTAAGTAAATGGGCAATAATCTTCATACACTTACCATGGTGAAGTTAATCTGTATAAAATTCTGCTCAAAGGAGGTCTGAGCTTAAATTTCATTCAAGAGTGCAAGGACCTTGTTCAAAGAGATATACATTTGAGTTCCCTAACATGATAATGATAATAGCACATGCACATCAATTTGCTTCCACAAACAAAGCAAAGCATAATGTTCATAATGTTACTGTATAAAATCGGGGTTGAGGAGTACAGCACTATGGGTTTTGTGGCTATTATTCCTGATTCTGGACAGAGTATCTCCATTTTATAAAACGACAACTTTAGCCCTATGCACGTTAACAAAATATTGGCGTAAAACACAATTTATGCTTCTACATGTACTATCTAAAATATCTTACCGGTATATACGTAGAAGGTACATGGTCAAAACAACCCACTATGTTACATTCTGAAGTCTTTAAGTCTTCAAGTTTCCCATTTTTTAATGTATATGAAATTAGAACACCGAAACTGAGAATGATGGACAAATCAAAGTCAAGCATGAGCAAGGGCAGGCAAAATATCCTTGGAAAGTTTTACAATTATAATTTTAATTCTGAGAGTGTGACTAAGGGGAGTAAATGGCACCAATGGCGGACCAATTAGTCAAAACGTCAACCGTATGAAATTTGGTTGCGAAGTCAAGTTATCAAAAGTTCATATTTATCCCAATACTTTGGGGAGACGGGCGGAGAGGGAAGGGGGGGAGGGGGTATTGTTGACCCACCAAACTATCCGGGAAAAACATTCTTCTACGGTCACACAAAATGTAAGAGCTTGAGCTCAGCATCTCTCACAAGATTTCAGAAAACCTCATGAGACTTTAAGGGAACATCTGAAAACAAGAGTTTTTTTCTTTGTCTACATTATGTCTTTAATGGCTAAATGGAATGGAAAACTGTACTGGATTCTCAGCCCAATAAAGCAAAACTGACATCAATTATAAAAGATGATGAGCCTAATGTACATCAGGAAGTGGGATACTTTTAGTCTTTGTGAAAACATTACTGACATTTAAACATTTTTGAAATGGAACATTTGCCTGCCTCTTACTGTCAACTAGGTTTTATAATTGAAACACTTGGCCAGTGGAATGGATTTATTTAGTCTATGTTAATTGCTATGGGAGAAATGTGCTCTAAATTCACATAAATCTGAGGTCCAGCAACAACTTCGAAAACATTTGTCTTCGACCTCATAGGTTCCACTGCATTGCTTTGGCGTTAGACGTTTATAGCTGCAAACAAACCTGAAGATAGCCCTATAAAAGGTATTATTAGTTCAATTTGAAAAGTCTAATGATTGGCTCGATGGGGTACATTTGTGTTGCGTATGCCTTGAAGTTCCACTGTATTTCATCACTTCGGCACATGATTCAATAGCAGACTACCAGACTTTGATCTACTGGACTGTGTGACTTTTCAGAATCAGTAGCTCTAAATTGTGCAACTTAATTTTCATCTTGGGTGTAAAATACAAATTCTGGCTATGAATGAACCAACGAGAAACAAACATCTTGGCCTAACTAATGGAGCAAATTGTTACACAATGTAAAGCAAGCAAGGTGAAAGCACAAGTGCAAGAGCAGTGCAAAGTGTCAGCGCCGGCCGGGATTGAACTCCTATGGTGACTGATGCATGCAGGATGCTGTAAGAACACAGTCTAACAGAAAGCTCGGTGAAAACAGAAGATGTGTAACTTCTAGCTCCGATGCAACTGACAGGTTACCCACCAAATGGGGTTACTAATGGAATATGGGCCGACAAGGAGGTGGTTGTAGGGTCCCAGGACGTTAGAGCGGCTAAGTGTTGTCCTGGTCATTCATTGGCAGCACAGGACGGGGTAAAACGAGAAAGGTGGGGAGTGGGAGAAAGCATACAGAATATATCTCACACTTCAATTCAGAAGTAATTTGAGTATGAAGACTTTGTGTATTACAATCATATTTCATAAGCAAGTGGTCCATTTCTAATTAAGAAGGCGCTGCGTTCTCATCGTTTGGCTTGAAATTACTAATGAAGGTGGTTGAGGCATCTTCTCCACCCATTCCAATTAAAGTTGAGTTCATTTATATTTGGTAATTTAATTGGTTGTCATTTCTGTAATTGAGCCCCAATCCAGACCAAGCTAATTATCTTTATAACAAGCTGGGAAGGAGCTCATTAACTTCCTATAAAAACACAGGCCTCTAACTAGCCATCACTGCCCAGCTTGTTTATTTCGCTCCTCATTACAAACAGTATTCTAATTGTTCCTCTCGTTGGCATTTAAACATGCGAGTGTAAAATGGCCCACACACCTGCACATGAAGAATTTACAAGTGGTTGCATCATTGTCAGCATGCTAATAAATTCATTATAAAAGACGGGATCAGGCAGAGGAGGTCGGTACCTAAGGGGAGTCTGTTCTTCTTATTAGCAGGAGTACTAGCAGGGGAGAGCTGGGGGGTGTTGGAAGGGGTAAGTTCCAGACTGCTGCTCTTCCCAGTTTGCGATTGGGGCACATTGGCCAGCAGGGTTTCCAGAGCCATGTGCTCCTCCTCCCGAAGGTGATCTCCAGCCATCACCCGGCGCACAAAATCCACCTATGCATAAAAAGAATAACAGTCTTTGTTGAGGTTTTCACATTCTGAACAAGCAACAAAAATCATTATAGTCAAACCTCGGTTTTTGAACGTCTCTGTTCTCGACCAAATCGGTTTTCAACCAAAAATTTCGAGTTTTTTTATGCCTCGGATTACGACCGAAAATCGGTTCTCGAACAAACTGAGCGCACTTGAATGCATCACTTGACTCCTCTCGCCTTCCTTACACGAGGAAGCAATGCTTCCTCGTGTGGACAAGGAAGTGACGCTTCCTCGTGTCGCTTTCCATTGTGAGCAGACGTGTTCAATAAACTTTTTTTTTTTTTAAAAAGAGCGTGTTTCGGTTTTCGAACAGCCTTCTGGAACGGATTATGGTCGAAAACCGAGGTATGACTGTATTTGGAAATTCTGAACGGCTGCCGTAGACATGAGTGGTAGGTAGAGATCGATAAGCACATGCTGAATAACAATGATTGATAACGGTAAGTTGGAGAACTCAAAATATGTTATACAGATACTTCTCTAAAACATTTCATGTAACACACATTCTACAGTCTTCTAGAATAAACCATCTATTTTCTGATCCGCTTTTTCCTCAAAAGGGTCACCGGGCGTGCTGGAGCCTACCCAAGCTGTCTTCGGGCAGTAAGCGGGGGACACCCTGAACTGGTTGCCAGCCAATCGCAGGGCACACAGAGACGAACAATCATCCGCACTCACACTCACACCTAGGGACAATTCAGAGTGTTCAATCAGCCTGCCATGCATGTTTTTGGAATGTGGGAGGAAACCGGAGAACCCGGAGAAAACCCACGCAGGCAAGGGGAGAACATGCAAACTTCACGCAGGGAGGCCGGAGCTGGAATTGAACCCGGTACCTGTGCACTGTGAGGTCAACGCACTAACCACTCGACCACCGGGCCGCCCTCTTCTAGAATAATAGTTATTTAATTGTTATTTTATGTCTAAGATTGACTTTGGTTGTATTAGGATTAGGCAACAGAGTCACAAGGAATGTGTGTGTGTGCTTTTTTTAAGTCTTGTTTTTTGGGGGGAGGGGAGTCAAGTCAGCTTTTCGATAAAGTCCAAAGTAAAGAATTGTCATGAATGCTCAATATCTGTTTTCACTTCAACCAAAGGAAAGCTTGAGGCTCTGTTAACCCAAGAGGAAACGAAATCTTGGCAATTTCCAATATGGCACAATTCAGCCCAGAATATAACATGACATTGGACAGACGTGCATCAGATAGCCACGTGAAATGTGATTTGATACCCCACAGAACTCGTTTCCACTCTTCAAGAGTCTAGTTGTTGCATTTGCACAACTTAAATTGTTCTCTTTAATTTATTTTCGAACAACTTTCCACTCAAAAATGTTGATAAAAGCATGTTTTTACTCAGCTCTGATCAATTACTAAATGATAGATTTTATATTTATGGCGTACACTTGTTTTTCACACAAATAACTACTATAATCATGGCTTTACTATTGCTATGTTTAGGTAAACATTTTGACTTGCGTACAAATTGGGGTTATGTTGCCAATGTAGGAACCGGAACTCCAACATAAACCAATGAACCTCTTAAATTTGAACACTATCGATATTATAGTAGAATCAAAAATGTTACCAATGCTATCAGCTGATGATGCGTAACATAGACTGCAGTCCTGCTTAGGCCTTCGAGAAGGTTCATTGAGGACATGGGTGGTGTTTCAACTGCTCTTCCACCAATCACGACATCCAGAAAAGCAGCAACACAACTCTGGAAAAATATGTACATTAATATTTCCTGAAGAATGATTTCAAGAAATACTGGTTCGTTTGAATGGGTATGTAATTAAATGTAATTCTTACTTGATCAAATTTGGACAAACAACTTTTTCGTCTGGGGTCTGCATCGTCATCAGCCATCGCCAGCTGCTGCAAAAGCTGACCAACCTTTAAAAAAAGGTGCATGTATAAATATATCATGCAATATATAGTACATAACAAATAGCCTAGTGAAAAACTCAAAAGAATACTTCCCATTCGACTTACCTGCATTAAATTGAAGCGGGCCACTTCATTAATGGGGGCATCTGAGATGATACCATACTGTTCCGGGTTAACAATTGCTGGACAGATAAAGCAGGTCAGCAGCAGGTCGGTACACATGGTACGCACCTCTCCCACCTCAAGACCTTCCACGCATGACAATGTCTTGTACATCTGCGACACAATCCATCGCAGGCTATGAGGGAAGCAGTAGGTGTTCTGCTTCAAATAACCAATAAATTTGTTGACCAGAGCAACTAGCTTTGCCTCATTGGTCTCAACAGCTGCCTGTACTCTTTGTCTGTAGGTCTCAGAGCCCTTCTCTCCAAAGCGCTCCTGCTGGACTCGAGTCAAGCGCTCAGTCACTTTGGCTGGGTCTGTCTCCAGGTGGTCCTCATCTTCCACCAACAACTGCATTATGGGTTCATGGAGGGTGGCAGTTAGGAAGAGTTTGGCTGAGTACAAGCCCTCAGAAAAGAGCTTGAAAAGGATGCTGAAGGCACATGTGCCTCGTCGCAATAGCCGCCGTGGGTTCTCACTTTCCTTTAGCTCAAACTCTACGAGGTACCGCAACACCTAGGAGTAGTCAAGGGGGAAGGCAGACAATCCTATTTTATCTCTGTGTTATGCCTAATCTGGTTATAAAGCGAGTGGACGTGTCGGCCAAACCTGTAACAAGTAGCTCTCATCTTCCTGCATGATACAGTTGCCATAAAGTGAGGTGAAGACGGTGTGGATGACCCCCTGAGTGTGCTCCTGGTTCAGCCTTTCCCCTGCCACTAGGCATGATGCCACCAGTCTGGGGTTCTCCCTCAACCGGGCCAAGAATTCACCATAGATGGTCTCATTGAAGCCAAGAGTCTTGTAGCCATCAACAAACTGCGTGTCTTCCAGCGTTTTGGCATGTTGGCAGCATTCAGCTGGTGAGGCTTCCACACTTAACAACGCAAAGAAAAAGACAAGACTTCAAGTTAAGAACCATCTTCCCATCTCTTCAAAAACAAATGCACCAAGTCAAAGAGTCAATAGTTTGTCATGTTTCTACAAACAGGTGAACATTCTAAATTGTCATCTGACCTGGTGATAATGAGCCGATCGAGGTTGATCCGCTGTTGCTTGGCAATCCACGCGGCCCTGTATAGCCTCTCAGCTGTCTTAAGGACATCGCTGTTGAGTCGCTGGATCAGCTGCTTCTCTGATGCCACATAAAGTCGCTCCTGCTTCAGGTGGTGGGCCAGAGTATGAATGTCTGGCTTCACCATCTTCACCAGCTCTCACAGGCTTTGAGGCAAAGAGCCAATGCACTAAACAAACAGACAACTCATGAGGATTAATAAAAAAAAAAACTAATAATTCAAACAGCTACTTTGACTGTCGTGACATAGTATGCAAAGAACGGAGAGACATCACAGACAACACTTCAGTATACGGCACGAGGCATCCAGTCAACTGTATTTACTTTGAAACACAGTGCAGAGAACACGGTCCTCCAAGTATTTTTGGTAGAAAGTAATATGACAAATACACGTTAGGGTCACCCTTGAAGTGATCAGAGAAAGGTCTTGCTGGATTCAATCAATGAATGGTAATGACAGCAATGGAAATGTACATGCTGACGTCGGGTGTTTCCACAGTTAAGAACCGATGCAGGCTCTCATTATTTACTACTCAAATATACGCTGGCTGATATTTTACGATATACGTGGTTGCTTTATAAACAGGATGGGCCACACGTTTCCACACTCTATTTTCTCTTTTACTCTCGCAACCTTCATCCATCCATTTCCAAGACTGCTCATCCTCATTCGTGTCACAGGAGAGCTGGAGCCTGTCCAGACTTACTGTGGGTGAAAGGGAACATGCAAATTCCACACAGGAAGGCCCGAACAAGAATTGAACCCAAAACCTGGCAATTGCCTGTGACGGAAATGTGTTCACCACTACCACCTTTACGTCCTGACTGACAACTTGATTCAAAATAAGAACGTCTTTGAAAGGAGGTCGACGACGCTCATGTCACAAAAAGGGAGTCGCAGTCTAAGAACATTTTTCACAAGCATCTGAAATCACAACACAATGAGATATGCTAATTTTTCTGCCCCTTGCAAGCTATAGAAAGCCAAGGCAAACAAAGTGAGCAGAACAAGCGTGAAAAATGAATGATTAGGGAATCATCTGCACAATAGTATCTCTTTGTGAATGGTTAGGAACATAGTAAACACAGTTCAGGCTTTGGGGATTGAAATGAGACAAGACTGGTGGAAGCTACCTCATAAATGGAATGGCTGCAAGGCAGCGACAATGCTCGCAAGCTAATAGACAACCACAACATTAGAATTGATGTGCCTGACAAATTAAATTGGCTATACAGATTTAAACACATAATGATGAGCCATATATGGACTTCCTTTGGAAGGGGAACGAGGGACACTGATCTCAAAACGTACATGTAAGTAGCGACTGCTGTTTGCAAACTTCTCATAAAACAACATATCTCATCAAAACTTGACACTATACTCAACTCAGCTGTATTTATAGAGCACTTAAAAAAAAAAAAAAAAAACACCGCTGTATACAAAGCCAAAGAATAGAATTTAGTTTTGAGACCAGTTTTGAAGATGGGCAGTGAGGGGGCTTGCCAAATGTTCAGTGGGAGGTCATTCCAAAGAGAGGGACCAGAAACGGAAAAGGCTTGATCCCCTCTGAGCCTCCGCTTAATTCTTCTCCTCTCGTAATGTCTGGTATGCATGTCTACTCCCTCGAGTCCTGATAAACGTACTTTAAATTTGGTTATGAGAGCTCTGGGTGAATGTTGTTTAGAAAATAGATATTTAAACTCGTTTGTTTTTTGCCATGCCATTATTCAAAAAAATCCCTTTGTCGCAATCTGCACAAAACTGTAATGACCTTCCCTGCCTCACCTCAAAGAAGATCCATCCATCCATTATCTGAACCGCTTAAGCACACGAGTGTCGCAGGCATGCTGGAGCCAATGCCAGCTGACTTGAGGGCAGCTGATACTGTGGAAATTAGTTTAGATTTTTTTTAGCTTAATCCTATTCACTTCAGTGGTTTGACAAACATCTCGACAACCGTGCCAAATTCATGCATTTTTCCAATTTAAATTTCTTTGATTCACTGATTTCTCTGAAAGATTATCTTGTGGTGAGAGTGTTTTTTTCCGCTCCCGGACCTGTTCAGAAATGGGCCTGGGCCAACCATCGTAAATGTCAAAATGTTCGATACTTACGTTTGCAAATCCTGACGTTCGCAAATCTTTACGTGTAAGGTCAACACAAGTCAACAAGCTGGGCAGAGTCCCTAAAAGTGACCAGAGGGTTACGCTGTTGCCACTCCTTTTTGTACCACAACTCCTTTTTTTTCTCCCCTCCTCAGGTGTTGGGTCTCAAAATCGGTTAAGATGTTAAAAATCGGTACGTGTCCATCTTGCTTCACGTACAGTACATAATTTCTAGTGGATGATTTAATGGAATGCCAAGTAACTAGTCAAGTAGGATTTTTATGAGGAACTTCCTCCTCAGAATTCGTGAAGCAGCACATTCCTCCCATATTTGGATGCAAGCGAAAAAAATTGAAGTGAATTGCTGAGAGGTGAGCAGGCATTCATCAAAAGGCCTCCTGTGCAAGCTCCAACGTTAGCATTTCCAGTCGCATTGAACACAGAGCACAGAGGAACTACAAAGCAGAAGAGAAACTACACAATGCGGTAACTAACTGAAGACCTTAACACTTCATGACAATACAGCAATTTGGATTGAAGCAGCAAAGTAGGTTAACGAAATAGAAGAACCACCAATATTATTTGGTAAATGATCTAAGATTAAAAAAAACATGCAAACATCACAGCACCATTAATTAACAGTATTTCTCAAACACAAACAAACACACACACAAACACACACACACACACACACACACACACACACACACACACACACAAAGTAGCCAAGGAAACACTCCAACACTCTCCACACACACACACACACGCATACGCACACGCACACAAAGTAGCCAAGGCAATACTCCAACATCCTCTTCCCAGTTCCTGTTCAGATAATTCCTTACACTGGCCATAAGCAAACTACAGAACTGGAAACTGACTCAGACCAATTATTGAGCTAAACGAAATATTTCTGTTCCACTTTATGAATGAAGCTCAATTGAAGGGGATGTCAAGTCAAAAATGTTCTAGTATGGTCTATGTGCCCCCAGGAGTAAACACGGCATTCTGATTATTATTGCGTTTGAAGAATATGAATAAGGCCTGCACCACCTGCGTTTTTTTTTCCATTTCGGGGCGTGCCATTTTGCCACTTGCTGTCGACTGAATATGACACTGCAGTGTGTAAGGTCATAGGTAACGAACGTCACAGCTTACCTGTTTTCTGTGTTTGGTCATGTGACGGTCGTTACCTGCGCCCTTAGGCACAATGATGTCATTTTCAGTCGACAGCAAGTGGCAAAATAGCCACCACTGAGATGGATTAAAAAACTGGATTTTGCTGCTAAATTCATATTCCACAAATGCAATTTTAATCAGACAACTGTGTTGAGACTAGTAGTGGCGCATAGAACATAATGTAAAGAAAAATGTTGACTTGCCTTTCCCCTTTAAAGCATCAGTAAGAAGAAACAGTGACTGTTAAGACTCTTTGAGGTCAGTTGGGAAATGTGAAGAAGAGCATCCCTCAACCAAATTGGAGCAATAAGCATAGTGTACGAGAATTTCTACACATCATACAAGCAAAACACAACCTGGTGCATCTCATGAAGCAGCAAAATGGTAGCAGATGGGCTGAAGCAAAGCTATTACAGTCGAGATGATGTGTGTTTGTGGGCCGCTGAGTGATGTGTACAATGCGTTCATGCCTGGAAAAGAATGGACGTTAGAGATCTTTCATGTTCTGTAACGAAAGGATGACAGTACCATTTTATCCCTATTTTCACCTGGTATGTATAATTCCAATCTATTGTCAAATTATGTAAAAGGTACCAAACTAACGGAGCTGCATGAGAAAGTTTGGCACTATTCTGTTGATGGAGGAATGATAAAAATGTAAAATGCTGCAGAAATGTTCAGAGTGATGCTCGAGATGCCACTCACTGATGTGACATGGGAACGGAGTGAGAAGTAGATTAACATTTTTTATTTTGTGATTCACAAGGGTGACTTTCAGTAGATCAATACCCAATCAATATCAGATTCTCACTCAGCCTATGATTGACAAGTTAACAGCCCATTATGTACTCCATCTTTTGCACTAAGTCAGGGGAGATAGGCTCCATTCCTCATCCGGCAACCCTGAACAGGACAATCAGAACAAAAATGCATGGATGCATGGATGGAAGAGACAACATAATTTCAAAACATTTGACTGGTTTAGAATTTACGCAGTTTTGAAATCCTGCCTACACACCCTGCAAGTGTAACCATGGTTGTCGCTGTTCCAAAAAGCACCTGTCAAGTTTGACTAAAATGTACTGCAATCGAATGTGATTGGACAGGGTCTCGACTCGAACCAAATCACAATGACTTCATGCACTCGTACCCACTGTCAGTTGACAAGAACACAAATCTTGTGTGGAAACCAAACATATCAGAGATCTGAGCCTGAAATTTTTGAGTCTTACTGTACTAGTTTATTTATGCATTTCCAAAACTGCTATTTTTAAAATACCATTTGAGGAATGAAAAGGAGCTAGTTACTAGTACTGTATATTGTATTACACATAAGTGTGACTGAAACTACTGGCTATCTTAAAATTCATTTTTCGAGTCAACTAAAGAAATGTGCATTTGTACATTTCTTTGAGGGGGTTTCTAACCTTATTTGAACTATAATACGTGCCCCCCAAAATCTAAACATCTATGTCAAATATGTACCAGGAACTTAAAGAACAAAAACAAAACTTGAATGACAGGCTATCTTCGCAAATCCTACAATAACCTTTTACAAGCAATAGATAAGGACTCCTGCATGTGCAAAGTTCCAATATCGTATTCAAATACTTGAATCTGAGAGAATTATTTTGAAGTGCAACACAGTTCTATACTCCAGCAAAAATAATTGTCTTGTCAAATGTAATTGTGGCCTCTCCACCTGTGTCAGTCAAAATTGAGCATTATCTATGAAAAACTGGGTATTTTTGATCCAGATGTAACGACGGTTCTCATGGAAAGGTTACTGTAACTAAGATAGGTCGAAAAAGCCATATAACAATCCACAAATGCAATATGCATTTGACGAGACAGTACAATAAAACAATTCAGTTTAGTCTTACAAGCTGAGCTCAAGTGATTCATTGGAGGAGTTGTTTAACAAAAAATTATGTTTCCAAACAGTTGCGTGTGGACCGAATTTACTGCGTTGCCGCAATCTTCCGGCAGCTTTAAAGCCAACCACGCAAAGCATAATTATTTCATTCGACTACTGTTAAAGCATAGTTTAACATACCACCGTGTAAAGCGAGAAACTTACATTGGGCTTCTCACGTACAAGCTTTGGGGGACATCAATAGAAGCCAAGCTATTCTAGTGTCCTGCGTTCGCACCGATTTGAAAGAAATACCCTCAGACAACAAACGATTAGCCTGCCAACGTTCACCAAGTTAGGCTGCTAACCTCAGCTAGTCAAGTGCGGAAAGCTAACGATGAGCTAACCTCGGTTGGCTACGTTAGCTTAGCTTTGTTTGCAAGCAAAACAGTGTCCTATGTAAGACCAACATAAAATGCATCATAAATCGGGCAACTCACCAAACTTAAATGGTATGTGATGTTGTATCACAGTACTATCAACCACAGCGGATCATGAGATTAATCAACCTCGAGAAATTGTTTTGTCTGTGGTTGGCCGTGTCTCACTGGGTGCTGCAGGAGCGAACTGGACTGTCACTTGCTGTCATCACGAGGAGAAGCCCACAACGCGCATGCGCGATGCTTGTTCAAGGCAGAGTCCTTATCAACAGCCAGTGTTTTGACATTTACAGAACGACTTTCGTAAATAATTTTCTTCCTACAAATTATTATATCACTCTCAAATAATAATAATAATAATAATTATCATTATTTTTCAAAACAATAAAAATAACAATAATAATAATAATAATCGTAGAAAGGGTTCTGTCAGTCCAGACCGGGTTCCTAACACCCAAAAATGCAATCTGATTTATTCCATCCGTTGCCAAGAAAGTGAGTGCAAGGAACATTACATTGGAGAAACCAAACAAACACTCAAGAAAAGACTTTATCAACACAAATGGAAAAACAATGATAACAAAAGAGCAGTATACGCACACTTAAAAGAAACAAAACACACAATTGAAGATGAACAAGTAAAAATCCTAGGAACAGAAAAGAGATGGTTTGAAAGGGGGGTAAAAGAAGCGATTTTTGTTAAAAAATTTTCACCCTCTCTGAACCGTGAAGGAGGTATCAGATTTAACCTGTCTCCTATTTACAATAACTTGTTGACCAGTAAGGGACATAGACATGCTGATCAGGCTAACTGAAAGTAGCTATTCAGCCTTAGCCCAAACAATAGGCCTAATCAAGACCCAATGATAGGGAATTTAGAAACCAATGGGCCTCTAATAAACCAATAGGGGCGTGACTAACCATCCCCACCCAGTCCTCAAACAGGCCACGCTCAGCTTTTTAGCGCAGAGCAACTTCCCGGAGTCTTCACGGAGACTTCAGGGTTGTCTACCGCTGACGAAGCTTCTGTGAGAGAAGCGAAACGTCCTTTTTTGCGTTTTTTTTTGTTTTTTTTTTGTTTTTTACCCACAGGTACAGATGACGACTGACAGAACCCTTTCTACGATGGAACTTTCCTGTACGACTGAGAGCCTCCACAAGCATTATTATTATTATTATTACTATTATGCATTATCACGATCACGCTCAAGTGGTGGTAAACTACGGTGTTGTTCAAGACTGCGGTTTAATGTGTCCTGAAAATCATCACTCATTTTCATTTTATTTTGAATATTGAACAATTTGAAAATTGTCGGTAGTAACGTTCAATCCAGAAGTTCCATCCTGAACAACGAACTGCAACAAAATTGTTTTCCACAATGAGTACTTTTTTACGGTTGGATTGCATTGCTATTTTTTATTTTATTTATTACAATTATCCGAAAATGATCCATAAGTGGAATCAGTGTAAATAACTGGAAGTACAAATTTAGGCTTCTATTTAAGACGGAGCCTTTTTTGCAGCAGACTGACTACGATGCTGCAATACACGCACTGCTCCGCTAGATGGTAGTCTAATAACGAAAACAACGCAAACCCTGGCCATCAGTAATGCAAAACAAACAAGTACAAAGACTTTTCATTGGTAGCTAATTGAGCAAGTCATTTGAAATGACTCAAAATCAGAGATTGTGCTACCGGAGCTAAAGTGTGCTCTAGCCCCGTCAGAAATCCGTGTAGCTTTATCCACCTAAGCCCCTCCAGTATTTTAACGTAAGATAAGATAAGAAAACGTTTTTTTTTTTTGTCTCACAATGAAGAAATTCCCAATTTACTTGATATTCTAACATAATTTTCCCAATGCCCTTTGCATTGGTCTAGTCCCCCTTTCTCCCTTAATGTGAATGAGCCTCACATTGTACACTATATTACTTCATTTGAAAATGAACCAATGGTGGTCCAGTGGTTAGCGCGTTGACCTCACAGTGCAGAGGTTCAATTCCAGCTCCGGCCTCCCTGCGTGGATTTTGCATGTTCTCCGCGTGCCTGTGTGGGTTTCCTCCCACATTCCAAAAACATGCATGGCAGACTGATTGATCACTCTAAATTGTCCCTCGGTGTGAGTGTGGATGGTTGTTTGTCTCTGTGTGCCCTGCGATTGGCTGGCAACCAGTTCAGGGTGTACCCCGCCTACTGCCTGAAGACAGCTGGGATAGGCTCCAGCACCCCCCACGACCCTTGTGAGGATAAAGCGGAACAGAAAATGGATGGATGGAATAATTCAGGTACCATTCACAAGATAAGAATTTACAAACAAAAAAAAAATCCCCAAGAATTTTTTTTTTTTACTTTGAGGGAAATAATTAACTGACTTTCATGATCAACATAGATCAATAAAGAAGTAAAATGTGTGTATGTAAAATGAATGCAAGCAAATGAATTCATTTGTTCAACTCCATTTATTATATATCTATGTATAGGCTATAAACATCACAAAATATAAATTTTAAATCTTGCACAAAGATATAATCCAGTAAAAGAGCAATCTTAGCTTAGTCAGCAATAACAACGGAGGCAGGCATATATCTAGATTTTTTTTCAGGAACATTCTTATCATTTACCATTTAAAGAAAATAAGTCTTCACAAAACATAGTTCAAAAGAACAATTCCATACCAATAATGATAATCATTTGACTACGTTGTTCATTTTTTTGCTCTCGTATTGCATATTGTCTAAAAACATACTGTACTATTAGTTTGTATTATTCAGGTGGTTTTACAGTCAATAAGGTAACTTATTATTATTTGTATAAATAGTTTTAAATTGAATAATAAATCATAATATTTAGAACATACCTGAATTTTAAAGTAACATGCTTTAAGCAATGTGTGATTTAAAGGGGTTGTTAAAACAACCTGTTTAGCCAGAAGAAAGATTTAAAAATTATATTTTGCTTTATTTAAAATACTTATTTTCAAATGAAGGCCACTTCCAAACAAAGCAGTTTACCCAAGCACATTTCATCGAAATACATAGATGGAAAAGTGAAATGCTATCTTGATTGTACTTCATTTTCTATCAAACAATAACTGAAAGACTGATATAAAAGTAGCCACACAAATACAATTTACTAATGAATGTACTCTGAATACTAGTCACCAGTTGTAATATTACGATTATTTCAGATAAATTTGTGTGAGGGGAAACAAGTTTGTGGGACTTATCTGGCTATTCTGTGGAGGCAAGATATGCATGTCGAATACTATAAATGCTGTGTGCTTTGTACATTGTAGAGCAGAAACTGAATAATTCATACATGTTCAAAAACATGGATTGTTCTGTTGTGCCCAGTTTGCATGCAGCCTATAAAGTTCTCTGAGAGCATAAAAATCAAATCAAGAGTAGGCATACGTATGTGGGTGTGCATGGGTGTATCATAGGTCAATGTCAGTGTGCTAAAGGTCCAAAGACGGCGGGAAATTGGTCAAATGCAAATTATTGCATGTCAATCTTCAATTTTCCAAATTAAAAGTATTTACAATATTTACATTTTGTGTAACTTGACATCATTCCCATTCCGATCCTGTGCTGTTCTAAATAATATCATCCAAGAGATGGGGGGTGTCCACCCAGTCTAATGTTCTCGGCTCAGATGCGGCCATGATCATGCACATAAACTGTTTCCCTGTTCTCTTATCTAATGGGTAAATGGTTGTTGGGGTGAACCTTTTGTTGCTCTCCACGAATTCACATAGCTGATTATAGATTTTGGGGTACTCGTGTCGAAGGAAGACTCCCCTGACCCTGAGCTCACGCTGAATGTTGACAAAGCACACCTCCCTGGCTTTCCTTCCCTCCTCCCCCTCCTGGTCAATGGCTGGCGTTCCCGGAGGTGGAGTAAGGATGAGAGTTTCCATTTCACTATCCTTCTTCAGTAGTTTTTTTTCTGGGCTTGAAGAAGCCAAGGAAACCTTTGCATATTTTCGAACTGTTGGTGTTTGGACCCTTGGTGAGGGTCTGTTAGGCACTAGTTCACCAACAGCTACAGATACATTCAAGAGGAAACATTCCCTGGGGTCATACTCATTACCTGCCTGCTGCAGTTCCTTACAGTAGTCACCTAAGTTGTCCTTAAAGCCATCCAGCTCTCTGAGAGACAGGTATGTGGGCGACATGACAAGGCTCTCAAGCCCAACTTGGAGAAAGTTCTCAGTGGTCTCTGGGTTGGCAAAACCCAGAAAGAGAACACCTCTTCCTCTGGAGAGGTAACCAGCTTTAGCAATACGAGAGAAGGCTTTATGAATCTCCGAATTTTCTCGACAGAACTTGATAGTATGGCGGCACACACTGCTCACGCGACCGTACAGACACGTTTCTTTGTGGGACTCCCAATCATCCCTGCGACAGTTTCGTGAGCAGTAAAAGGTGTAACAGCTATGACATGATTTGAAGTACAAGCAAGCATTGAACATATTTTCAGAGCGTTTGCACTTCTTGTTAGCACACACCAAGGTTTCCTCTTCCTCCACACTGTGGTCCGGAGAGCATTCTTCTGCACTTCTTTGCAAAGCATCACACCCGCTGTCAGGGTCTTTGATTGTGTCAGGACTGGATTTTGAAGACGGGAGCTGTGTGTTCAGACATTCAAGATTTTCAATCTCAGAAGATCCCTTGACTTTTTCATCATCTTCAGTAATCAGTTGTTTAAGCTGATCCAGAAAGTCCCCGCTCGGCTTCCTGCTGGCTGGTGGTTTATAATCAACCACTAAGTCGGCTAACAACTCATCAAGTTGCTCCAGACTCTGCTGAAGGGAGACATTGTTACGTTTCCTTTCTTTGGTCACTTCTGCTGTGTCAAATGACTTCTTAACATCAATCACTCTTGGGGCAAATTTCTTTTCACTGTCCAGAGTATTCCAGTTGACAGCGTGCACACCACGCTGCTCACGGTTACCGGCGCAGATATCATTGTCAGTTATGGTGATCTCAGGAGTCACAAACCAGTGGCCACTCTTGCTATTTTTCCACAGATTGCTTGAACCTCGCTCCAAAGATGTCTCAGAGAGAGACAGGGCAGCATAACGTTTTGGCGAGCTTGAAAGGTTAAGGATAACAGGTTGAGATGAGACATTGGGAGATCTGCCATGCCTGGCTTGGTTAAATAGGTTCTCGTAGCTTCTTCCACGAAGTACTGATTGCTCTCTGTCATGGCGAGGATAAAGAATATTGTCCCAAGACTTGGAGTGATTTTTGGCCTCTGTCCTAAGTCTACCTGTCTCTGTGCCGTAGGTAGAGTACCATGGGGGTATACAAGTGTCCGTACTTACTCTTGGTGGGGTGAGCTGAGAAGACTGGTTGGAATAACCAGATATACTTGAGCGATACCAGTCATCCGAAAAAGCCTGTGACATGCGGGGTCGCTTTCGACCTTCTGTGTGGTATTGCCTTGATGGAAAGTACCGCTCCTCTTGAGCGTTAAACGGCTTGTTATAATATAAATTTGAGCAACTTTGGTGGTACGGATTGAAACGGGGGTCATCTCCAAAGTAAGAGCTTGAGGGTGTTTGAGAAAAGCAGGATCCTGCCTCACTCGTAGGGTAGGGTGTACTATATACAGAGTGTGTTGGTTCTTGGTGCGAAAAATTATCCGTGTAATACGACCTGGGAGGAAGCGTATGTACCCATCGATTCCTTGGATCATACTGACTCGTCATAGTACTTCCACGGCTGGCTAAACTGGACCTATCATCCTGAAAGTATGTCCGAGAAAAGGGATGAACTGGATAGCGGACTGGGTCCTCGGTATAGAAAAATTTTGTTGGGATGTTTGGGTTTGAATAAGCTCTTTGCTCCTGATTTAGATACATTGCTGTTTGTGATGGCATTCGGTACATGTCTAGATGCTGGTAAGAGACAGGAGACATGCTTGTAGTGTAGTGATATCCTTGTCTGAAATCTCCATTATAGCATTCACTTGGAGTTGGCGTAGGTGAGGAAATCTGTCGGGGTGCGTACAAACCTCGACTGCTACTAGCCTGTGAGTATCTTTGCCAAGCGAGTCGATCAGGCCTTAGATTGGGGACCTGCCTCGATGTGTGTTGGAGTACAGCAGCATCTGGTTTAATGTCAACACGGCACCTGACATGTGGCGTTATGGCTGATTTACCCTCATCAAAACAGTCAGAGACATAGAGGGGAGAATGGGGCTGTAGTTTAATAGGGTGGACTTCGTTCAGAAAGGCCCTATTGGAGGAATGTGCTTCTCTTTGTGTTTCAGAGGACCTCAAAGTGTCTGGGGCATCCTTGGCTTGGTTGGCCTCCAGAGGAGACACGGAGATGGGCACAGGAGTGAGAGTAGATTTGATTCTGGGAGCACTTCGGGATCTTTTTCTATTTACAGAATCCGACCATGTGAGGTGGCTGGTTTTGTCTTGACTGGTTTGTTGTTGGGTTTGCCTGGAGTTAAATAAATCTGGAGAGGAGAAGCGAAGATATCCTGGTTGATCGAGTCCGTTCCATGTTAGATCTTTGTGTAATGTCTGCTGTTCTGTCTGTTGCTCTTTACGCTTAAAAGGATACTCCATTGGGGAAGACACAGACTGTGGGTCGTCCAATGATTCAAGAAAGTCAAAGCTGCGGCAGTGTCTTTTGTTGATGATTTCTGCTTTATCAATCATCTTCAAGTCACATTGCAAAGAAGAGTGAGCAGAAATTACGTGATCGGTGGTTGGATATAAAGGAATGTCCTGATATAGAGTTGATGTCAGGATATCAGGAGGATGTGTCCGGGTCATCTTAATGGAACTTCAATGCCCTCCATTCAGTGTGACATTTCAACACAACCTAAAGGAAGGAGAAGATAGATTGAGTCAAATACTCTATGTCCTTGAGAATCAGGGACTATGAACTGTACACTCATAGAAAATACACATTCATGTGCAACTGGCTTATGCCTGGCCCCCCTTACTAGTACATCACATTATTACAGCACACACAACAGCCTAGGATGAATTGTTTTTTAAACGAAAACTGGAATGTTGTCTTTGTTAATGAGCAGGCCACTTCCTGGTTCATGTGAGATGATGAACAGAGTGTTTTTGCCATTATTATTTTGAGGTGGGGGGATGAGGGGATCTGTATACATAATGAAGTCAAGTGTTGGAAGTAAACAGATGTATGCACACGTGTACCCAGATCCAAACTTCCTTAGCCTATGCATCTCACCGCATGTTAAAACATCCAAGAAACAAGATTTATACTTTTTATTACTCAAGTCAACTACAGTATTTGTTTGTTGTTTGCTCAATTATTGTTCAAGTGAGTATAAACAGGGTAGCAAAATGATTGCAAAATTTCAATGTTATTTGTTGCACATAACAATTTGGCCCCCAGGCCTTGGGTTTGACACCTGTGAGTTAAATGATTGTATAGATATATTGAAAAAAACGCTAGTAGCATTGCTATAAATTAAGTTGTTTGAACGAATAACAAAAATCATCAGTGCATTGAAAAATACAATCAATCTCAAACTGAAGGAATGTGAATATTTCACTATTTCTTTTCCATTTTAAAGCAAAACATTTTTTTTTCATTTGTAACACATACATAGGGTGTCTTTTTGGCCCTCACCCATGAGCTAACCCTGAGTTGCCATCTGTTCATTGTGATGAGCGAGAACTGACCAGCCATGTCCCTGCCATGTCTCGCCAGCACACCTAAATATCACGTCTGCTCACACTCAAATAATCTCAGCATCCAATGCTGCACATTTCTTTTCACTGGACTGTTTGTCAAAAGTACTTGAGAAAATGCTCATACAGTATATGCATGTATTTAGAATACCTCAAATTTTATAAAATAGATGTGAAAATATCAGCTGTTGTTTCACAATAGTCCTGTACTAATCAAAGTATATTAAAATAAGAGTGGGCAGACTGACTGTTAAATTCAATCAAGCTTTGTAACTTGTACAATGCAACTTTGAATGCAGTCATGACTCTGCAGTCCTGACGCACAACCATGGGCTAATATCAGCATTAATTATAAGATTTTTTAAAAACCGTGAAAAAAAAGTATCATCCGTGGCGAACTTCCATAAACCCATGCAGAATCAGTCTCAATGTTCGCACTCGTTTAGAATTTTTTTCCAAAGTTGTTAAAGAGCTTGGATGCCTAAACTTGCGAAATGCAAAGTTATTTTTTTCTATTCACGGTCAAATGCAGCTCCTCAATAGATGTGCAACCCCCTTTCTTTCATTCTTTCTTCTTTCTCACCCCTCAAGTTTTAAAATCGCATGCCACATCCTGTCTCCATAGTTACAGCACACAGCACCATTCACCGCACAAGGGCCAAAATCTCTGACAAAATGGACACTGAATCAGCAAATTGATACTTGCAACACAATCGTGTTTTTAAATATGGGTGGCCCTGATGTTGTAGTGTGTGTTTTTACTTGCGCTCAATCATAATTCTCTGATTTTGTGGATATTCGGGCTACCAAATGCTAAACTTCGCAACCTATATTGCTGTATTTGGAATAAGGTTAGCCATTCCTTAATGGATGTAAACACTGGCTCGGTGTTAAGTCGTCTGTTGTTTTTAGTGTCGTGCTCATTTTGGTACTGCGGCACCATGGGCCCGATACGTCCGATGTGGTCCAATGACATCATTTGCGCAGGAAGGGGAAAAAAGACAATCATCAGGTTTGAACGGGGACAAAGTAACTGGGGGCTAGACTTTTAGCTAAGTTTGCAAAAATAAGAATTGGCGAGTGAACGTCGAGACTTACCGGTTTCCCATGTAGTTGATCAGATGAGGAGATGGGGAGGCGGAGGAGTCGAAGATGTGTGCTGCAGCCTGCCGTACCAGCAGAGAGCCTCCACGCGTCGAACTCCTGTCTCGGATGCTTTACCTCGATCAGCTTCAAGACGTTCCCTCCTCCAGTCGTGTTTAATGTTGAACAGAGCGTGCGTGGGTGTGTTTGTACGTGATGGAGGAAAAGGAGGGGGACATAACTGAGTCTGCGTGGAGAGGCGTGGTTACGTTCGTGTGCGAGTGTGTGCGTGTGTTTGTGTATGCGCGCGTGTGTGCGTGTATGTACGTACGCGTGAGTGTGTACGTGTGTGTATGTTTTCGTGTGTTTGTGTGTGCGTGTGCGTGTTTGTGTGGGAGTGTATGTCATGTGCGCGCGCACACAAGAGTGTGTGCGTGCGTGTGTGTGCGTGTGCGTGCGTGCGTGTGTGTGCGCGTGCGTGTGTAGGTGCGTGTGTGTGTGTGTGTGTGTGTGTGTGCGTGTGCCGGCATGTGCGTGAGAGGATAAGGATAGGGATGTTCGCCAACTCGTGCATTTTCATCGTTCACGGTTCATGAATTGAATAAATGACGTAGATACATATCGCTCGGCCTATACATTTTTGGTAACGTTGGGTTTGCAGTTTGCAGCAATGGGAGATACGTACAAATATTTTGTTTATGCTCTGAAGTATATTTGACTTATTTTTCTGATAGTTTTTACATTTGAAGACTTTCTAATGGATGGCACGGTGTTCTACTGGTTACCACGCCGGCCTTACGGTGCAGAGGTGCAGGGTTCGATTCTGTCTCCGGCCTTCCTGTGCGGAGTTTGCATGTTCTCCCCGTGCCTGCGTGGGTTTCTCCATGCACTCCGGTTTCCTCCCACATTCCAAAACACATGCATGGTAGGTTGATTGTGCACTCCAAATTGTCCCTTGGTGTTATTGTGTGTGCGAATAGTTGTTTGTCTAAATGCGTATGCTGTGATTGACTGGCAACCAGTTCAAGGTGTACCCCGCCTCCTGCCCAAAGACAGCTGGGATAGGCTTCAGCACTCCCTGCGACCCTTGTGAGGATAAAGTGTATCGGAAAATGGATGGATGGACTTTCTAATGGTTACTTTTTTCCAACCTCTGTGGTTGATGGCATCCAACCATCCATCCATCCATCCATCCATCTATCCTTGCAGAAGAAAAGCAACCAGACTTGCCACCTCACAGTGTGGATGGTGTATTCAGGGTCATGAGCAGTGTTAGTTATCTGCCTCACATAGCGCTTTGTGTTTCGGCCAAAAAAATACAACTTTGATCTCATCCGAACAAAGCTACTTCTTCCACATGTTTGCGGTATCCCAAAACAAATGTAAATGCAATTCATCCATGATGTGACGACCTCGAGTGACATGGACAAAAAAGAAATGCAGTCATGTCGATCCACCTCTCCGAAGGCGTCTCCCTGCAGCGTTTTCATCTTGTTGAATTGACTTTCATATCATTCTATCACACATTGTGTAATATAATACTGTGTCAACTGTTGCCCACTCAGCATCCATTGTCACCTGGCCATCCTGGAAAGGGGATTATCCAGTCTGCGGCCCCTTTTCAAGGTGTCTTATTTTTCCTCAAATGGGTTTTTCTGAGTTTTTCCTTGACGTATTGGTCGGATGTGTACAGATGAGCATTCATACTGCAGACACACTGAATACATATCTGGTTTATATCCACATACCAAAGAGGCCCAGGTTGAATTTGAAAAAAATCGGAATTGCATTGACGACACTGCATGAAAAAAATGAGGTATGGGTTGCATATGGTAAAAAAAACACAGCCTAACAACCCGCTGAGGCCTTTATAGAGCAGTTGTCCAGACAACAGTAGATTCCAGACAAGAGTGAAAGATTCAACAAAACCACAACATGGGTGGAGAGCATCTGAACCTAAATCTTTCCAATCTAAATCAGAACCTGAAACAATCTCGAAGCAAAAACAATCCAGAAGGGAACCCTGACATGAAGCCACTTCAGTTGTCTTCTGAGTAACATTAGTGTTGTGTATAAGGGGGGAGAAAATGACTTTCAGTATATTATGGCTTTCTTGAGGGTTGTATTTGTGCATCTTCATTAAGTTTCCAATTAAACAAGTAGAAAAGATACAATCGTGCAACACTGTATTTTGAATTAATATATTCCAATAAAGATTGATCAGATCAGATCAGATTTATCGATCATCTTTGTTTTGTTGAGGTTTCTTTTAACCCTTTGTGGTGTCATTCTCACCTTACCATAGCCTTTGCATCATTATGATCAATGGTGGGGACACTTGGCTGCGAGCCTCATCCCGCCCACTGCATGTGACTGCTGCAGGAAATGTGTTTAGTGAAGCGCTCCCACGGTAGATACAAATCAACAGACGAGCTGTGCTGATCAGCCCAGAAATCATTTTGTTGCAGGATATGCAGTTTTGTTGCTGGCACATGCTTGATCAAGAACAAATTAACTCATGCATCCTTGTTTCAAAACAATACAGCAAACCTGCATTATATCACGTGGATAACTCTAGCGTGGAAATCACGTTGTGTGGCATTCAGAACCCCACCGAGTGGATTATATGTGAGCATGTGTGACTCACGCTCATGCAGCACTGCTCACTGGCATCAGTTCATGTCAGCTGTTGGTTTGCGGGCATAAGTGTCTGTCAGCTGGCTGTTAGCAGGTGTCTCAGGCACCTTGAAGGCTTTGTGGATAGAAAATCAATAGCTCTCTCCTGATTAGAAGTACTTGTGTTCAAGGTGTAATAACCATTCAATCCATCAAAGAATGAACATTAATGAAACACCACTTCACTCTGATGATGAAATTCAATCATACATTTTCATAGCAGCCCCGTGAAACGTCACTTGAGTCTGTCTCAGCTTGGGTCAATTTTGTTGTTGTATTACAGTGATCCCTCGCTACTTCGCGGTTCGTTTATCGCGGGTTCAGTGCATCGCGGATTTTTTCAAACATATATAAAAAAAAATAAATAAATAAACGTTTTTTTTTTAAATATACATGGAGTACATTACTGTATATGTTGCTCTATGTGACTCGCTGTTGTTTTGCAGCTTCTCGCGGACTGTTTGCGGACTTAAAAAAAATTGTTTTTTTTTTTTACCTGTTTATATTAATTGGACGCTACTTCACAGATTTTGGTTTATCGCGGGTGATTTTGGTCCCCATTAACCGCAATAAATGAGGGATTACTGTATTGCTATTTTATGTTACATGTAAAGTGCTTTGTTACAGCTGCAGATGTTGTGAAATGCGCAATGCAAATAGAGCTGTACTGTAAATATTGGAAAGTATACCAAGCATTTCAACTCATGCTACGCTTGCTAACTGCAAAAGTGGTAGCCGATTAGCAAACGTGGTGTCATGAAACAAATTTCTTACCTCCAACTCTTTTCTGCAAACACATCTCAATATAAAATGATGTTTATTATCTCACATTCAAATCTTGAATTACATATAATTACAATAGATGAGAATAGATAGTGTACAGTAAGTGCAGCCTACTTAATGTCAGTGGCACACTCAGACTTAAGGGTAGCAGGAAAGGGTTTTGGCAATCTCTCTCTTGGGCATTTCTTGACTAAAGTCCACTTGAAGCTTTTAAATCTTCAATGAAATAATCCTCTGTCCACTCCTCTCATCCCAGATTCATTTTATAGTTTCAACATAGCGGAAAGCAGATTTACAGAACCTTTATCGCTCACTGGAGGAGCATGTTCATTGATACGTTGTCCGAATTGATTGAAGGTGTATTCCATCCATCCATCCATCCATCCATCCATCTCAACACCGCTTTTCCCGAACAGGGTCACGGGGGTGCTGCAGCCTATCCTAGCTAACTTCGGGCAAAAGACGGACTGCACCCCTTTATCTATCTATCTATCTATCTATCTATCTATCTATCTATCTATCTATCTATCTATCTATCTATCTATCTATCTATCTATCTATCTATCTATCTATCTATCTATCATCCGTATAGTGTTTTCATTCACCTGAAGTAGAAGCATGTTGGTGGAATAGTTTGGAGGCCAACACACACACACACACACACACACACACACACATTTTACCTCGAAATCAAATCTGGCTCATCATACTTGGCAAAGTCTGATGACTTTGTTTTCAGAAAAAAAGAACATTCCCATCTACTCCAAGCAACACTCACAACACAACAAATCTGTATATAAGCCAAATCATTTGGGAGTGGTATCCATGGTAACGCACACTGAGTAGGAGCAAGAGAGAGTGAATAGATTTCAAACGGAATGAAGTAATGCGCTGATGGGAGTCATCCAAACTATAAAAATCCACGTCATTGTTTAAAATCACAACACAATGCAAATACAATGTATTGCAAGTGTATTTGAAGTAGGATTCTGTCTCAAATCATGAATGCTGTGGCATGTGTATATCTATCCTCTTCTATATGTTTAACTTACATTTCTGTTAACATAAGGTTTACCATAAGGAGACACCTTCTGGGAGGGTTGAAAGACGGGAAGATGCCTTGACAACTACCCACACTCATGTGGGTCAACGTTTAGAATAGAGTGGATATTATTCCCAGCTGCACTGAGCAAACACAAACTCTTCTGTCCTGCTCTCCGGAGTCACTCCGCGACATCCCATGGTGAGGCTTAATTAAATCTTTACCACGCACTCTTCTCTCATCCTTCCTCATCTGCCATTTTGGCTAACGAATGACTCTGTCATGTGTGTAAGCTTAGAATGGGGAAGATAAGGAAGTGGCTGTAAAGGGCTTCTGATTATCGGAATTATTTGTGGTTGCACTGTGTCTCTGTGAAATTCTTATGTAAGACTGTCACATCACACCTACAGAAAAATGTTCTTAGTCACAGTTTCATTCGTTCTTTAAACAGTGGCCGATTTCACTATTTGCCTTTTTAGCATACAGCCATCATTCGAGTCCCATTTTATCAAATAGAACAAAACAATTCTTTTGTGTCTCAGTGAGGAGGAAACAGTGATCCCCTTCTTCACATGGTTCGTGTTTACCCTCCGTTCAACAACAGTACAATGCAAGGGCCTTAGGTTGTGTGTTGTGGTTGGTACAAGTCAATTTTACCATTCAAACACAGCAAACAGAGGGCTGAGGGAAATAAGTGATAATGCACTGACTAATGACTACAAACACTCTGAAATAGTACTTTAAAATGT